AATACAAGTCACACAAGATTGCTCAACATCATAAAAACAACACAAAGAAAAGTTCAGGCACCGAGATGAGTTTTTGATGCTTTTTGGCAAGCAATTATTTTAACAGCAGGTATATCAATATCTTTCTATGAATGAAATGACTCTCCAGCAAACTAACGCATCTCCCAGGAAAGGTCACATTTCCAACCTTCATGAGAGTTAAGGATAAGTATTTTCATATGGAGCTCCCAAACGTCATGAAAACTGTCACCCATTCCCATACACAAGGAGCAAGCTGCTTCAAACTCAGAAGGGTTGGTAGAATTCTTTATTCTGATTCCATGAGAGTGATCCCATTGGATGGGGAGGTATTTACACTTCACCTATGTAACACATTTGGAAGAGATAGGTGGCATGACATTGCCAGATCTTGCCAGATCTCAGGTAAGCGGGATCTGTACTTGGATGGGAGAACACCAAGGAAGACTCTGTAGAGGAAGGCAATGATAAAAGACTTCTGCTTCTCATTTGCTTTGAAAGCTTCTTGCTGGAGTTGCTATAATTGATTGCCACTGGACTCCACTTCCATATTTATGGAGAACATTGACTGCAACCCATTCATTAATGGATCATGATAATTCCATTGCTATGATCCCCCTTGTAGGGGGGATTGGTTGGCTCAGGCCTGCAAGCCTTTTCCACCCTGCCCGCCAAGGTTTTTCCAACAACTGGAGTCTTTTCTCTCTCTCCAGTAACTCACCACCACCACCTGATCTTTGTAGAAATTCCCACTGCGAGGGTCAGGACTCCCATATTCCCTTCCAAGGGCAAGGCCTCAAACATAAGAATATAAGAGAAGCCAATGTTGGATCAGGCCAATGGTACATCCAGTCCAGCACTCTGTCACACAGTGGCAAAAACAAAAAAACAAAAAACACCAAACCATAACAGGTGCCATCAAGAGGTCCAGCAGTGGGGCCAAGACACTAGAAGCCCTCCCATTGTTGTCCCCCCCAAGCACCAACAATACAGAGCATCACTTGCCCCAGAAAGAGAGTTTGTATCTAAACCTTGTGGCTAATAACTGCTGGTGGACCTCTGCTCTTTATATTTATCCAATTGCCTCTTGAAGCTGTCCATGCTTGTAGCTGCCACCTCCTCCTGTGGCAATGAATTCCCTGTGTTAATCACTCTTTGGATGAAGAAATACTTCCTTGTATCTGTTTTAACCAGACTGGTTAGCAATTTTGAGTGCTCATGAGTTCTTGTATTGTGAGAAAGGGCGAAAAGTACTCCTTTTTCTACCTGCTCTAACCCATGCATAATCTTGCCTCTGTGTCTCCCACTGCCCAGTGCCTGGTCACCACATTGACCATTTGCTGCCTTCTGTGCCCCTGGAGGAATAGCCAATTGCCAACTGCCTGCCTTCTCCCAGCTCTCCTCTTAAAACTGTGTGTCCATAACGGTGGAGGTCTATGTGCTAAAGAAAACAACTACCAGCATCAAAACTTATAAAATATTTTGTAAAAGGATAATATTCACAAGCATACTTTGAGCACAGCACCAGATCGAGCAAAGGATTCAAAAGAAATGGTTAAAACAATTCCTCTGTCCCTTTCTCAATACATGCTCTATCAGATGTTAAAATATAGGATAAATTCCTTAACTTAGAAATTTACAGACCTCTATAGAGTGGCCGTAACCTTGACGTTTCTTTCAGCTCTTCAGGCTAGCACATGGTTAATGGCCTCCTCCTCCAGATCTCAGTTCAGAGTTCTATCTGCTCTGATGGACTCAGCACAAAAGATAACTTCTTCCTTGCTCCCCTGAGTTTGATCACCTCTCTTTACCCCACCCACTGACCACGTCAGGCCAGGTCAGATAAACTTTTCCTGAAGCCTTCAGAATTCCCTTCCTGAAGTTTCTCTAGTATTTAACACCTCCAAATGTCTCTTCCTTGCTTGAAAGGTGGGGAGAGCTTGACCATCCCATTGTTTAGACCGCTTAGAATTTCTATTAGGTGGACTGAGGTAAGTCTGGAAAGAAATTGAACTAATTTTCCCGCTTCCTGCCTATACTCATCTCAAGGGGGGGGGGGATTAGAATTCAGAGTGAAGATTTTGCTCATTTCAAACCTCCAAAGGGAAAAAAGGCATTTCTTTATACACACCGTACAGCTATACATAATACTTATGAATGAAGGAAGTGAAAGATTTGTTTGAACTCCTAAACATTTTCATGCTGCTGTTAGGAAACCTCATGGATCAGAGTTTAATTCGTAGAGCAGTCAAAGAGGGAAAGAATTCCAATTTGGTTGTGAAGAAGAAGAAGAAGAAATTGGGTTTATACCCCACCCTTCACTCAGAGCCTCAGAGTGGCTTACAAAGTCCTTTCCCTTCCCCTCCCCTCAACAGACACTCTATGAGGAAGGTGGGACTGAGAGAGCTCTTTCAAAAACTGCCCTTTTAAGGACAGCTCTTGTCAGAACTATGGCTTGCCCAAGGTCATCCACCAGCTGCAAGTGGAAGAGTGGGAAATCAAACCCAGTTCTCCCAGATTAGAGTCCGCGCACTTAACCACTACACCAATTGTATTTCTTCCAATTGTACTTCAAAGTTCTGTGTTTTTTCAGAGTAAATTTTTTTTTTCCTGTCTGGGCACTGGTTGGCATTTGGCATATGAGTGCCTTAAATATAAGAAATGCTTTAGGGTATCCCTAGAATCATTAAATGATTCATTATAGGGTTAGACTTCCCATAGTTTTGCACAGAATAAATCCTTAGACACTTCCTGCCAGTTGGGAGCAATTTTCAGCACGTCTACTTAGAATTATATTATATTGTCTGAACTTTGTGGAAAATATTCTTCAGATTCCAGCAGAGGGAACAGTTTTTTTTTTAACCTTTTCATTCCCGTGGTGCCACTCTAAGTCTGAACTCGGTAAAGATAACGATCACCCCCTGCAATTATTCACATCAACTGTTTTGTTCACTGGATCCAAAGCATCCAGGACTTCCCAGATGGTGCCAAAAAGGACATAACAAGCAAGTCTGAAAGAGCTTATAAGAAACACCTTTTGCCATGGAGTGCTGGGTAGAGGGGTAGCAGCACTTTGTCATTTTGATATCTCTTGGTTTGCTATAATAAGTTAAATGTTAGATTGCAGCTATGGAGAAGCTGTGACTTTTGATATCATACACCTCAGCTAGCATTAAAGGGGTTAATTTTCAAGGGGTAGAAAAAGAGCTGGCACATGTTTCTTTGAGAAGAATATTGGGGTAGGCATGTTCTCTCCTACCTAGCCTGTGATGCCTGAGATGGGGAATCCGTGTCTAGAGACAGATTTTGCTTCCTGGATGTTGAGGGTGGGGGTGTTGCTTGCTTTGTTGTATCCAGTATTGAGCAAAGCAGATACTCTGAATAGCCCTGAGAACGATCCTTTCCCTGTTCTCCATGAGTGGTACCAGCCAGGGGACTTCATCATTGGCGAGATTACTTCTCAGTTCACTGTCACACTTCATAATCTTGAGTTTGACAAATCTCCTTCACAGCAGTTGTCTGACTCTCCAGGGTAAGGGGTTTTTTTCTCTCTCTTTCCCATGAACTATGGAGATGTGGCCATATCACCAGGCATAGTAATGGTTTATAGAACTGACACAATGTCCAAGAAAAGAATATGTGTGTCCTTGGTTGATGCCAGATTTTCTGCTTTCAAATTGCTGGTGGCTCTTCCGCTGTTTGCTTTATTTTAATCATTCCCTATTTCTCTTTGCTTTATTTCAATCACTCCCTCTTTCTAAAGAATGTTGACAAAGTTCTACCAACACATCCTGGCCTTGGTGTTTGCTATTCAAGAAATCAATGAAAATCTGCTTATTTTGCCCAATGCTACACTTGGTTTCCACATTTACGACACCTACCACAATGCAGAGATGACATACCACAACACTATGGCTGTGCTCTTTAGATCACATACATCTGTCCCTAATTACATATGTGATAAGAAGAAAAACCTCATAGCAATTGTTGGTGGGCTTGATGGAGAGAGCTCTTTCCATATGGCAGATGTCTTGGGTCTATACAAAGTTCCGCAGGTAAGATCAATGAATGGAAGGATTAGTGTGTAGACAAAAAAGACTCTTTTATTTCTAGTAGTTTTTGTGTGGCTTAGATGTGGACACAATTATTAATTATTACATGGTATTAGAGGTCTAAGGAGAGTTTTTCTAAACAGGAAAAATGTGAAAGAAAATGAAAAACAATGTAGAGTACATTTAGCAGACTTGCTTGAACAGCTGGAGTCCTGGAATACCCTATATAAACTTGAGATCCTTAGGGGTTTCTAAACAAGCAAAGACACAGACATATATAAAATTAGGAAATATTGTGGAACAACTAAAAATTGAGAAAGTTCATGACCTCAAAACATCATAAAGTGGATTCGGATTACCATTTCTAAGAAATGTCATCATATGCCCATGATGCAAATAAGAAATCCTTCAGAAAATGTCAATTGCACAGTAAGACCCATACTCAGATACTCAAAATTAACTTTCTCTAAATCATTCCTTTTTTTTCTTTCCTTTTAGCTTACATATGGATCTTTCACCCATGGGGAGAGGGATGCTACAGAATTCTTTCAATTTTACAGCATGTCACCAAATGAAGCATATTAGTATCCAGCAATTATTCGGTTGCTTCTCCATTTCCAATGGACATGGGTTGGGCTCCTTTTTGGAAATGATGACAGTGGGGAAAACTTCTTGAAGACTCTGGAACCATTGCTGTCACAGAATGGAATCTGTATAGCAACCAAAGGAAGAATCCAAAAACAATCCAGTTGGGATACTGTACAAGACGTTTATGCTTTACTTTCAGATATATATCCTACTCTAACAGACAGCAAAGCCAAAATAATTGTATTCTATGGAGAAGCTGTGACTTTTGATATCATGAACTCTATGATATTTATGGGACTTTATTTGTATGATAAAAATGTATTTGTGGATAGAGTGTGGATTATGACAGGCCAGGCCGATATCACTTTATCAGGCTTTCAAAAGGGCTTCAGTTATGACTGGTTTCAAGGGGCCCTTTCTTTCACAATTCATTCCCTTGATGTTCTTGAGTTCCAGAAATTTCTTCACAACATCAAACTTAACTGGGAAGAGGGAAATGGATTTCTCAAGGATTTCTGGGAACAAGCATTCAGTTGTTCATTTCAACATGACCAGAAGCCATTGGAGCCCAATGGGTCATGTACTGGTGAGGAGCAGTTGGAGGATATCACTGGGCCATTTTTTGAAATGCATATGACTGGCCACAGCTACAGCATCTATAATGCTGTCTATGCTGTTGCTCATGCTTTGCATGCCATGTCCCCAGTTCTATACAATCACAGAGAAACTCTGAGTGAGAAAAGGATTGACCCTGAAGATCTTCAGCCTTGGCAGGTAAAATCTCCTGGATTGTCATACATAAGTTGGTACATGCTCAGTAAATGTCCAGCTTTGTTCGTCATGCATGTCTGTGAAAAAAACCTGTGATTTATGCTATCTTTGTAAACCAATTGGCATACATCCGAGAGTTCTGAAAGAACTCAAATGTAAACTTGTGGATCTCCTGACAAAAATATGTAATCTTTCCTTAAAATCTGCTTCCATTCCTGAGGATTGGAAGGTAGCTAATGTCACTCCCATCTTTAAAAAGGGTTCCAGAGGAGATCCGGGAAATTGCAGGCCAGTCAGTCTGACGTCGATACCGGGTAAATTGGTGGAAACCATTATTAAGGAAAGAATTAGTAGGCACATAGATGAACAAAACCTATTGAGGCAGACTCAGCACGGTTTGTGTAAGGGAAGATCTTGTCTCACTAACCTGTTAGTGTCCTTTGAGGGGGTGAACAAACATGTAGACAAGGGGGATCCAATAGATATTGTTTACCTTGACTTCCAGAAATCCTTTGATAAAGTTCCTCATCAAAGGCTCCTAAGTAAGCTCAAAAATCATGGGATAGAAGGACAAGTCCTTTTATGGATCAAAAACTGGCTAATTAATAGAAAGAGAGTAAGTATAAATGGGCAAGTTTCTCAGTGGAGGGTGGTAAGCAGTGGGGTACCGCAGGGATCAGTACTTGGTCCACTGCTTTTTAACTTGTTCATTAATGATTTGGAGATGGGAGTAAGCAGTGAAGTGGCTAAATTTGCGGATGATATGAAGTTGTTCAGGGTGGTGAAAACCAGTGAGGATTGTGAGGCACTCCAAAGGGATCTGTCAAGGATGGGCAAGTGGGCGCCAATGCTATGCTGGGGATTATTAGGAAGGGTATTGAAAACAGATCAGCCAATATAATAATGCCCCTATATAAATCAATGGTGAGACCTCATTTGGAATACTGTGTGCAGTTCTGGTCACCACACCTTAAAAAGGATATTATAGCTTTGGAAAAAGTGCAGAAAAGGGCAACTCGAATGATAAAAGGGTTGGAACACTTTCCCTATGAGGAAAGGTTAAAGCGCTTAGGGCTCTTTAGCTTGGAGAAATGACGACTGAGGGGTGACATGATCGAGGTTTATAAGATTATGCATGGGAAAGAGCAGGTAGAGAAAGAGGTACTTTTCTCCCTTTCTCACAATACAAGAACTCGTGGGCACTCCATAAAACTGCTGAACGGTTGGGTTACAATGGATAAAAGGAAGTACTTCTTTACCCAAAGAGTGATTAACACATGGAATTCACTGCCACAGGAAGTGGTGGCGGCTACAAGCATGGACGGCTTCAAGAGGCAATTAGAGAAGCATATGGAGCAGAGGTCCATCAGTGGCTATTAGCCACAAGGTATAGATAGGGGCTCTGGGGCAAGTGATGCTCTGTCTTCTTGGTGCTTGGGGGGGGTCAACAGTGGGAGGGCTTCTAATGTCCTGGCCCCACTGGTGGACCTCCTGATGGCACTGGTATTTTTAGCCACTGTGTGACAGAGTGTTGGACTGGATGGGCCTTTGGCCTGATCCAACATTGGCGTCTCTTATGTTTTTATATTCAATTGTTGTTTCTCACATCTTGATCATGTTCGATCCTCGATATATGTCTGTATCCTGACAGATGTTCTTTCCCTTAATCTGATCAATTTCCATTATTGCCCCAGTCCCACATGGTGTTTGTCCACATCTCTCATGATTCCTGTTATAAGCTTTTTGATTGACAGAAAGGATCACATCTTCATTCTTTCACAAGTGAGAAAGATGATAGGACACCACTCTGGATATTTTTTGGGCAATATCCTACCAGGTTTTCTGCTCAATGTCTTCCATTTTCTTTCCAATGATCACCCCTGTTCCAAGTGTTTTTGTCTCATGAGTCCCAGTTTCTCTGCTATACATTTTTGAAGGTCACCAGTGCAAAGACTGGTAGGATATCAGTCTACATATCTTTTATCTTTTGCCTTTGAAAAATAGCTGCATGTTAAAATTATATGTATGTGAAGTTGCATAGAAATGTACCAAAAAAGAAGAAGAAGAAGAGATTGGATTTATACCCCGCCCTTCACTTGGAGTCTCAGAGCAGCTTACAAACTCCTTTCCCTTCCCCTCCCCACAACAGACAACCTGTGAGGTGGGTGTGGCTGAGAGAACTCAGACACAAACTGCTCTTTCAGGAACAGCTGTGCCAGAGCTTGTGACTGACCCAAGGTCACATCAGCAGGTTCAAGTGGAGGAGTGGGGAATCAAACCCGGTTCTCCCAGATTAGAGTCCGCACACTTAACCACTACACCAAACTGGCTCTTCAAAAAAAAGAGAGAGAGAGAGTGAGAGAGAAGCATCTGAGAATCTTATTTTTCTCTGGAAAAGGTACCAGTCATTCACATCTATCAGTGCAAATTTTGCTGATACATAGTTAACAATTCTCCATTGATAGATGATTTTTAGAACAATTTTTTCTTCAAGTCTCCTTGTATAATGTGAACATGTTCTGAAACTGAACCCCAGTTTTCCTGTGGAATTGTGTAGGTTAATCCTTTCTCCTGTTTCCACCCATTCCCTCCAGTTTTCTTTTCCCCTGTGTAGCTCCACCCATTTCTTCAAGATATTTCATTTAATAACTCAGCTGGGGAAACTGTGTCTTTTAAGAAGAATAAGGAACAGGGGACTGGGTTTGACACTGAACACCTCATCATATTCCCAAACAAGTCATTCCAAAGAGTGAAAGTTGGAAGGTTGGATCCCGGTGCTGTTGAAGGAAAACAATTTGTCATTCGTGAAAATATGATCAATTGGAGAACTTCTAGCAAGGTATGGGTACCATGTGATTGGGGTGGGGGCAGCTCCATTTGCTCTACAGCTTATATATACACGAATACATGAAGCTGCCTTAAACTGGATTAGACTCTTGGTTCATCATGGTTAATATTGTCTACTCAGAATAGCAGCAGCTCCCTAGGGTCTCAGCCTGAAGTTTTTCACAACACGTATGGCCAGATCCTTTTAAGTGGAGATACCAGAGACTGAACCTGGGACCTTCTGCATACCAAACAGATGTTCTACCACTGAGCCACAGCCCCTCCTGTTGTGCATGTTCAGGCTGTATCATAAAGTCATAATTCCAAAAATGGGTTATTCTGTCAAGTGTCTATCAATCTCATGTTGAGTTGTTCTCAATTCCTGCTGCCTCCAAATTTTCTTTGCATTATTGTCTTTTTCAGTGACTCTTGTCTTCTCATAATCTAACCAGTATGATACCCACAGTTCAGTTGTTTTAGCTTTCAAATTATGAAAGATTTATGAAATAGTAGTGCCCCATAATACTATATATCTCAGAAAAGTGAATATTACCTAAAAATCCACACTATCATAACTTAATATTCTTTTGAATTAAATCTACTTATGTTTGTTTATGTTTATTTGGATTTATTTCTCACCCTCCCCTTAACAGGCTCAGGGCAGGTTCCAACAATATAAATTCAATACAATTAAAACCACATTAAAACATATAAAACATACAACTCTAATGAAAGCCAGCTATACTGGGAATGGTTTCCTAGAGATCTGTTAAATTTAAGGTCTCCAAACCTGGCTTTAAATGGGGGCCGACCCAGCTGTAAATAGGGGCCGAACAAAGTTTTAAGTGAGGGGCCAGCCCAGGCTATAAGTGGGGGTTGACCCAAGGATCCAGCTAGCATAATCTCATGCTGGAGACCTTCAAATGCTTAGAGGGTGATAAATAAGGAGTATAGAAAGAAGGTAGATCAAACTAGATTGAACGTCTGGTGGGCATAATTGTTGGGAAAATATTGTTCATTTAAATATGTTACCTACTTCTTGCATGGTATAGGCAAACTCCACAAGGTTTTTGCTGTTTCTTGGATTTGCTTAACGTTTGTTTAGCTATATGGTTGTGTTGGTTTTTTTTGCTATGAAAACAGTTCAAAATAAAAATAATATTTTTAGCTTTTCAGGAGATTTCAGGTTTGATTCAATCTAGAACCCATTTATTTGTCTTTCTAATCCAGATTACCTTATGATGTATGGTGAATATACATTGAAGTGACAGGGAGATAAAATACATCCTTGTTTGCCACCTTTGCCTATTAGAAACCATTCCCCCACCCATATTCTGTCCTAACAGTAGTCTCTTGTCTAGAATACAGCTTGTACATCAAAACAATCAGATGCTATTTCTTATTGAACCAACCCCCTCTTATGCGGACATGTTAGCATGCGAGGGAGTTTGTGTATGTTAGTAAAGCTGAGATGCAATACTGTAAGAGATCTAAACTCCTAGCTGAATCACTCAAGATGGAATGGTTACATCTGAGACACCAGGCTAAGATGCATCCACCTCTTTCAGGGATCAGCAGAAAAAACAAACCATTCCAATGGTGATGGCAGCACAGGAATCCTGGAAGGATAGCTCATGGGCACCAGGGGTTGAGGGGGTTTTGTTATAACAATGCCTATCATTCCTGACATTGACCCTGGTGGAGGACCTTCTGTAAATAACGGCAGTGCCACCTCAGCTAACCCTGGTTTGTACTATACCGAAGAAGGCAATAGTAAACCACATTTGACCGACTCTTACCTTGAAAACCCTATGATTCCAAATATAAAGAGATGAAATTATCTACTTCAATTGCTCATTTGTTTGTATTTCATGAAAACCAAAAATGGTGTTTAAATCCTCCAAGTCTACACCCTTTTCATGTATTTCTCCCCCATAGGCATTGCCCTTATCAGTTTGTAATGACCACTGCTACCCTGGTTATCACAAGCAAATGAAGGAAGGAGAGAAGTTTTGTTGCTATGCTTGTGTTCCTTGTCCAGAAGGAAAATTTTCAGACAGGAAGGGTAAGTGTGAAATAATGCATAAAATTTCCCTAAGAATTTGTTGATGTAGCCCATTTCTATTAGAGTGGCCAGTGCCATTCTTCCAAAGGTTAGAGGGAAAATCTGGATCAAATGGTACAGCTAACTCATAGATTGTCATTACTTAGTTCACACATTCAGTCCTGGAGTATCAATGCTAATTGTAATGTACTCCGCCATTACCACATGCGCGACCGTTGAGCCACGCGGTCAAGCGCTATCGCTCAGCATGAACAATAGCCAAGCGGATCCTAGCCCGCACCAATCAGAGGGCCAGGTCTGCAGCCGAGAGCCTATGAGACTCTCGGCTACTGTAAATAACCTATAGGGTGAATGGGGGCGTGTTTTGGTGGTGGGTTTTCTGTGCTTATATACCGGCTTGCGAGCCGGCTTACTTTGTCTTGTTCTTCACTAATAAAGTACTCTTGCTGAATCACTCCACGTTTCCGAGTACTTTTCACTAATAAATCTAGATATACCTGTGTGCAGGTTCTTTACTCTATTTCAGAAGGGGCCATAATGCTGTGGGACTATCAGTGAGTAAGTGATATTAATGTAATATGTTCCATGGGCTCTGAGTTCTTTTAAATAGTACTTTGTGTGATAAACTTCTAGAAGCCACAGAGGAAAGAATCTAGAAATGGCATGAAAAGTTCTCTTATGAGGTCACTACGATGGTAGTGGGAAGTGACGTCAGGCAAACACATAAGGTTTTTAAGGCAAGAGATAAACAGTGGTGGCTTATCATTATCTACTTCTGCATACTAACCCTGGACTGCCTTGGTAGGCTCCCATCCAAGTACTAACTAGGATTGACCCTCCTTACAATACTCTGAGATGCCTCCCACCTGAGATTCCCATTTTTGTTGTGATTTGATCCCCATTTTCTGTGCACATATAGTGCTGTGTGTGGCACTCAAAATGATAGAAGGAGCCTCAGTTGAATTAACATCAAAAGGCAATGAGTCATATCAAGGAATGCAAGGCAGCTCCTCTATCAATAATGAGTAAACCCACACTAAGAGAGATTCAGTCAAAGGCCATTTTCCCCAAGGACCTTGGAGACTCCTGTCAGAAGATTTAAAACTAACAGATGATTCATATTTCTGAAATAATAAGCAAACTTTTCTGGATGTCATCTCTTCTGGATCTTGAACCCCTACTCCACCATTCCTTCTGCCTTCAGCTTGTCCATGTCAGCAACTGACACAGCTTTTTCATTACAGCAGAAAATGCCACCCTCATCTCCTGCTTCTCTTCAGGACAGGCTCATATGTTTCATCTTCTCTTACAGAAGTTTCCTCCTTTAGGTAACAAAAGTTTTAGGGGAAGCTTTTTTGTGTTTTATTGACTATATTTAACTCCCCTTCTGTAATTCTATTGCTGTACCATGTTTCATAAATTAATATGGACTCTTTTCCTGTTTGTAAAATAAGAAGTCCAGATGTTTCAGAGTCTTCCCCCCTTGTTTTTTTCTGAGTATTGATCTGAATCTGGAAGTGGGTATACATGGTCTAAACAATCCCAAGTGCTTTAAGTGCCTAAAACACCAGTGTTTGTTCTGTGCAATCAGAGGGACACCTTTGGACATTCCAACCCTGAAACACGTAAACCAATTTGGGTAACACTTAACTTCTGAAATCAGATAAAATAGGGCTAGGCTACACAATCCGGGTAGGGCATGTAGTCATTGAAGTGATCCATTTTTTAATATTTATCTTTCCAGTATTGTTTAAAAAGAGATAAATAGCTGAAAATTGACCAAATTTTATGTGTGGTTTGTTAAAATGAATGGATACATTCTGAAAATCACACTGTAAATTACAGAACAATAATACAAATCCAGAAGCAGCCAGAAGAGGGTAAGAAACACCTCACTGCCTTCTGCAGACATCTGGCTAGCAGCTGGAAACCATGAATAATGCTTCCAACATGAGAAGAGCCTTACCAGTGATACCCCAGCTTCTTTTCTTTTGCAGACATGGCTGACTGTACCAGATGCCCCGAAGATCAATATCCAAGCAACAACCAAGATCAATGCATCGTCAAATCAAAAACCTTCCTATCATCTGAAGAACCTTTAGGGATCACTTCAGCAGTTTCAGCTGCTTCCATATCTTTGACTGCAGCTGTAATGCTAGGGATTTTTGTTAAGCAGAGAGACACCCCCATAGTCAAAGCCTACAACCGGAATATCACTTATACACTCCTTGTCTCTCTCCTGCTCTGCTTCCTCTGTCCTTTTTTATTTCTCGGAGAACCAAGCAAAGTGACCTGCCTTTTCCGACAAACTGCCTTCACCATCCTCTTCACAGTGGCTGTTTCTTCCGTCTTGGCCAAAACCATCATTGTGGTTGGAGCATTCATGGTCACCAAACCAGGGTCTAGCATGAGAAAATGGTTGGGGAAAAAGCTGACCAACTGCATCCTTCTATTTTGTTCTTTCATTCAAGTTGCCATATGTACAGTGTGGCTAGCAACCTCACCCCCTTTCCCAGATTTTGACAGACAGACACTGACTAGAGAGATTGTGGCAGAATGTAATGAAGGGTCTGTTGTGATGTTTTCTATTGCCTTGGGTTACTTGGGACTTCTATCTATCATCAGCCTGATTGTGGCTTTTCTAGCGAGGAACTTGCCTGATTGTTTTAATGAGGCCAAGTTCATCACTTTCAGCATGCTCATCTTTTGCAGTGTTTGGGTATGCTTTGTTCCAACCTACCTGAGCACCAAAGGGAAATACCTGGTAGCCATGGAGATCTTCTCTATCTTGGCTTCAGGTGCTGGGTTATTGGGTTGTATCTTTTTGCCCAAATGCTTCATTATTCTGCTAAAACCTGAGCTGAACAAGAAGAAGCTGCTAATTTGTAGAAAGAATTGAACATTCTCTTAAATATGTTATTCTTAGATTGGACTATGGAAATGAGAGAGTGGGCTAATTGTCGAAGGTAGGGTGGGCTACCTTGTAAATCTAAATTTCCCTTTTATCCCTGGTAGATATGCGTCTGAAGCAGTCATAGGTCTTTTTGACACATTTGCATCAATTAAGGATGAATAACAAACTTGAAGCTTTTGATGTATTTATTCACATATACTTTTCTAGGCTGCTCCCTGAAGCCACAGGCATGGCCTTCAGTTTCCAGTACCCAGCCCAGGCTCTTAACAATAGGACTTATTGAAGGTCATGAATTCAAAGGCTCACTATGAGCTGGAACTTGGAAGGTATTTGACATCACATAAGATGCATACCCTGTTACTTCACAAGTGCAGCTCATCCTTTCATTTCTAATTGAGAATCTAGATATTGGAAATGTGAGACATAAAAATGTTGATTGTAGGAGAAACTCCAAAGAAAACAAAACTGGGGCCAATATCAGTCCAATAATACACTCTAGAACATCAGTTATGTATGCTTAATACAATTACTTTTTATACTTGATAATAGTATCTAAGTATACAAAATTCTCACAAGTTATACAATCTAGCCATACAATATCTTAATGTTGGGGAAGCAACTTAACTGCAACTGGGAGGTCTGTCTTTTGGGATTGTAGGAGAAAATCATGGAGACCTTACTAAATAAATGGTATAGGAAATCCCCTTTGACCTTTATGGAGTGAGAATGAGGTAAATGATTGGATTCCCCCATATGAACTTGCCTGTCCATCCAGTCATCTCCCGAGTCCCTGCTTCAAGCGCCCCTGACAGCTATGGCTACACTGATGGCAACCAAAGAAAGTGTCTTCATACCAGAACTATATGTCCCTCTGTCATTTTTTTTATCTGATGTTGGGCGGTCAGTCTGACTCTACCCCGGAAGATCTGGACCAGGCATTGCAGGATGTGGCTGGATGGCTTAGACTGAGCTGACTGAAATTGAATCCAATGAAGACGGAGGTCCTGTGCTGGAATTGGAGCAGTACGGGGGTAGGGATCCCACTCCCAGCCTTCGGTGGGGTGCCATTGGGGAAAAAGCTGACCAACTGCATCCTTCTATTTTGTTCTTTCATTCAAGTTGCCATATGTACAGTGTGGCTAGCAACCATTGGTGCCAGCTCTGAGGGTTAGGAGTCTGGGAGTGCTCCTGGATGCCTCCTTAACAATGGAGGCCCAGGTAGCAGCCGCTGCCAAAGCAGCCTTTTACCATCTTCGGCTGATTAGGCAGTTGGTTCCCTTCCTCGAACACAATGATCTGGCTGCAGTGATCCATGCTATGGTCACCTCGAGGTTTGACTACTGCAATGCTCTCTACATGGGGCTGCCCTTGGGGCAACTCCGGAAGCTGCAGTTGGTGCAGAATGCGGCGGCCAGGCTGCTGATGGGCCTCCCCAGGTGGGAGCACATCCAGCCTGTGCTTAAGACTCTGCACTGGCTGCCAATAGCATTCCGGATTCACTTCAAGGTGCTGGTTTTGACGTTTAAAGCCCTTTATGGTCAGGGACCGGCCTTCCTGAGGGACCGCCTTTCCCCGTATGTTTCCCAGAAAGCACTGTGATCAGGATCCCAAAACCACCTGGACCTCCCTGGCCCGAAGGAAGTCAGGTTGATGGTAACCAGGACGAGGTCTTTTTCGTTTGTAGCTCCGTCCTACTGGAACGAGCTTCCTGTCGAGATCAGAGCCCTGCGGGACTTGTCACAGTTCCGCAGGGCCGTGAAAACAGAACTTTTCAGGCAGGTGTTCTGATAGGAGAGATGTCTTACCAGCAGTGCCCTGTGTGAACTCCGATCTAATACGACCTAACGAGGGGGTACCGCTGAATGTGTCCTTAAACTGCACTTTATTTTATCGCCATCTAATGAATGTTTTATACTGGTTGGTTGTGTTTTAACTGATGCCTTGTATTTATATTTTATTGTGTATTTATACTGCTTGTCAGTTTTTGGAGGCCGCCCTGAGCCTGCCTGGCGGGGAGGGTGGGGTAAAAGTGAAATGAATGAATGAATGAATGAATAAATAGTTCAAGACTCGTTTTTGTTTTGTTTTGTTTTTGGCATAGACCCAATTACTACTAGTGGCCCTCCTCCTTTATTATGTTATGTGAGTGTTGCAGAATTAGAGCTGGACTGAGTCTCAGTTCTCTTGTAAATTCTGAAAAACCTCTGGTACACATATAATACTATGATATCTATAGTAATAAGCCTATATAGTTGAAACTTTGGTTTTGTTCTGCTCCCAGGAAGATTCAGGCCGCTGCTATGTGCTGTGTGTGGCCTTCACTGGACATGACTTTGATTCACCTGGCTTTCGGCTACTAGGAATGTTTATACTTTACAGCAGTCAGATCCCACTATCAAATTCTAAATAGATAAGATTTTCAGAAACTAGGTTCCTTGATTTGTTGAGTCACCCTGGCTTAGCTCAGTTTCCCATGACTTCCTTGACCTCAGAGATAAAAGGAAAGGGGCTGACTTTGTTGGATGCATCAGATGTATGTCATGCCCAGCATGCTGACATCATTTCTGGGTGACATCATGTTTCAGGTGATGCTCTAGCAATCAGCCTAAACACTCTATGGTACCATAGAGTTTTCAGGCTGGTGCTAGAGTGTCGCCCAGTGACGTGCCCAGCGTGCTGACATCATTTCTGGGTGACATAATAGTTGTGAAATGAACTTATATTTCTGTTCTTGTGGACTGATAGCTGCTGACGTACTATATAAAGTGTGCACACATACACCCTAGGCTCAGGGAACACTGTTTGCATCGCCTGTTGTGAGAGGGATTCCACATAGAAGGCCTTTGTCTGCATTTCATGCAAATGAAGCTTGCGATACAGCTCCTAAGCCTGGCCTGAGGGGAGAAGAAGAAGCACAGCCATTGTTAGCACAATCCACAGCTTAAAAAGTACAAGTAATGCTCCATCACCAAAGGAACCTGATGTCACGTAACCCACAAAGGGAATCTACATCTGAATTGCCATTTCCTGGAAGATGGCATGGGAAAGCGGAGATTCATCTGCACATCAAGGAGAATGGTGACACCAACTTTCACACCTGACCAGATAGCCGGTTCTGAGTTAGAGTCTAGAGTTTCAAATATTGTCCAACCCTTAAAGGTAGTGCCCTTTCTTGCATGAACCAATGAGATGTAACAATGGGACGGACTTATAGTCAGGTGGATCCAGAATTGCAAAGGTTGCCAACCACCCCAAAGATTTCACTATAAAAAGCAGGGACCATGCACATGGTTCTGGCCTAGTCGCTATCCCCCCTCTCCCTTCCTGCTGTAACTCCCCTTCTCCCCAGCCTGCTAAAATCCTTTGTCTTTACCTGACTTCTTGGTGTGTGCACAGCCAAAGAGGTCCACGCTTAGCTTGCTGGTTCTAGCAAGTGTGTATTTAGAAATCCCACTAGATATTATTCTTACCCTTCAAGTTTTCATTGCAACAAACAAGACTCCAAGAACAGGCAAGTATTAAACCGTGTACCTACCCACCTCCTAAGTAACTAAACTATTTTGATATCTTTCTGTAAATCTAAAGGAACCTTGAGTGTATGAGAATGTGAGACTGATTTTGAGTGTATGTGATTTTGATATTGCTCAGTAAAAAGACAATTTGTTTTTTGGAAAAAAAACCAGTCTCGTCTCCATCACTGGGGATCTGTGGGTAGACATGACCTCCGTAAAAGTTGACAAGAGCTCACATTAAATTTAGTTAGCCATCTGCTGTAAATAAAGTGATTGTAATAACATCATCATGCCGGGCACGTTGGCCCAATCTGGCCACTTTGGTGGTGTGGTTTCCCCCTCTGGCCGGATACGGACTAGTAGATTGGGGGCCCTTTCAGCAGGCTCCGGTGGACCTGGCAACCCTACTTACATCCTGCAGGAGGCCTTATGGACTGCTCCAGAGTTGTTGTCTTTGTTTAGTTGCCATCTTCTTCAGTTTGTCTTAAATCTGGCTTTGATTTCATTGCTTTTATCTTTTATATGTTGTGAGCCACCCAGAGCCCACTTGTGAGATAGGACAGGATATAAGCTTAATAAATAAATAAATAAATACTTTAGCATACTCTCCAAAATATTAGAACAAAGTCAGAGTCCAATGGCACTTTTAAGAGCAACACAGTTTTATTCAAGGAGTGAGCTTTCATGTGCCTCCCATGAATCACGCAAATTTAACCTTTAACCTAGCCACAAAGAGGTTAATAAGAGCTTTTTTGCCCCCCCTACTGTCTGTTTTTTTGGGGGGATGCAGGCAGGAAGAAAGTAGATTCCTTTGAAATGAGGTGTTGGAGGAGCATTTTACGGATACCATGGACCGCCAACAAGGCAAATATTGTACTTTGGTCACGTTATGAAAAGACAAGACTTTACTGGAAAAGACAATAATGCCCCCCTTGAATAAAACTTTGTTGGTCTTAAAGGTGCCATTGGACTCTAACTTTGTTCTGTTGCTTCAGACCAACATGGCTGCCACCTTGAGCTATCTCCAAAATATTGATTCACTTGAAGTCTGGAATGTTCTGTTTGTTTTTTTTTTAAAAAAAAAACAAAAACAAATGGACACTTTGGACACTTCTGGCTTTTTAAGAATAACCTTCAGTGGGTCTACTCAGAAATAAATCCCATTTTATGGAACTCCTTGGAAATTATTCTTACGATTCTAGCATTGGGAACAGGGGAGAGAGAGAGGGAAAAGGTTCATACCAGTGGTGCCACCTCAAAGACAGAAGTCAGCAAATATAATTATCATCCACTGCAATTATCCATAATCACTGTCTTTTTGTTCACCTGGTGCAAAGCTTCCAAGGCAGAATAGTATCAAAAAACAAGCATGAAAAGAGCTTATAAGAAACACCCTTTCCCAGGGACTGCTGGGAGGGGTAGCAGCACCCTGCCACTTTGATCTCTCACATTTTGCCATAATAAGCTTGACAT